CGTATGCGCCCAGCCACACCATCACGATGACGACAACAATGAAGACAAAAGGCAACGATTGGGACCAGGGACGAGAGAAAAACACACACAGACACACAGAGCTAAACTGGAAGCAAAACTTCAGGCAACAAACAACGCAAAACAGAGAATAAGATGAATGGAACCGGTGAATTGGTGTATAACAACAACCATGAAGAACTATCGTAATGGCACAAGTTGCAACTATAAAATGAAACGAAAACTAACTTTTATTAGGTAAATGAGATACGAAAATATATATCATGTTTGAGAGTGAGTGAGTAAGTGAGTGAGCGAGTGAATGCGGGATAGGGTGAGCGAACCAGTAAGCTAGCAAGCGAATGTACGCACGCCGTCCATTCGCAAAACCAATTTATTTTTGCAATTTAGGGTGGTTACACAAAATCTACGATCAATGCTGTTGGGCGCGGCGCCTTATCGATATCTAATCGATGTTCAATTTTCCAATGCGAAAACCAATCGCAAATTACTGAGGTTAGACAATCATTTTTCGATGTGTGGATTTTATGAGTTCGGCGAGCCTTTCTGTGGCCAAACACCCTACACAATTTCGTGGCCTAAAACCATAGAGTTTCTCCAAATGTATGCGATGCCAAAAACATACCAGAACACAGTCTCATACTCTCCCTCACTCGGTTTTTGTCTCTCTCTCTCTCTCTCTCTCTCTCTCTCTCTCTCTCTCTCGCTCGCTCGCTCGCTCGCGAATGGCACAGCAACACTTCATTCAGCGCGCACGGTAAATACGCAAAACTAAATTTTCAAAACTAACAATGACTTGGAAACATGAATCAAGAGTTTTCCGCATCAATTCCGTTTTTCGGTGGAAAAGTATCCACGTTTTCCATATGCAAATGCTCACAATGTACAGGCAAACGAAGCCGGCGATGAAGAAGAAATCAGCGCACACAAAATTCCACGAGCCAAATGGTGGTGGTTGTGTCACTCATGCTGCACGGTTGTTATTGTTGGTGCCGCGGTGTTGTTGTTATCACTTTGTGCTGTTGCGCCATTTGTTTGCTCGTGCGTTTATTCGGAAACTGAGCAACGAAATAGTTGCAAAATGGAATAAATTCTATACGTGTACATTGTACACTGTACAAGTACATTTGTAATCTGCTCCGTTCAATGGTAATGATAATAGTTCGAAGAAAACTCTTTCTCTCTCTCTCTCTCTCTCTCTCTCTCTCTCTTTTCTTCTCTATTTTTCCATTCTCTTGCCTCGTATATTTTCACAGCATTGAATATTTGCGGCGCATTCGGAGACGCACGAGATGCGCCATTGGTCGACAATGGAAGATATCGATATTAACGAAAAGTTTAACATTTTTATGGATCGCAGCAGAACGACGATACTATTGTCATGTGTACGTATTCATACATACGCACACTTGCACGCTACACTGGATGTATGCCAACGGAGGGAAGTAATAGCTAACGTAAACTGGTATTTATTTGAATTTGTGATCGAGATTCTTCGACGTTCTATTTCTGATTTCCGAGTTAAAAGTTGAAAAAGCTCCAAACAACTTAACTCGTTCGCTTCCGTGTCCGCACCCCCCTACGGTGTTTCACTCGCCATTCGATCGTGCCGCTCTTTTGACCAGATGGATGCAACACAACGAACGGACGACAACTTAGACAAATAGACGTCGCAGTCGTTGTTGTCGTTGTCGCCGGTGAGTGCAAGTGTAATCAGAGCGAGAAAAGCACTAATCTCCTTATGCGACGACAGTGTATCCAAAGTATTGAGCGAAAAGTTAAAGTAAGATTTCCATCGCCTCGAGCGAAAAACGAAGAAGCCATGCCACATCTTTTTCTCATGTCAATGCAACCAACAACGGCAACGAAGACGGCAACACAGTGTAGACGAAGTGCGGGAAAGTTAAGAAGAAGAAGAAGAAGACGACGACGCAAGACTGACGATTAATTAGCTGTCTTGAATTAAATTATAGTTCTTCGTTTAATTTTCCAAACTAAAACAGTTTTTGAAATGAGCAAACCTCGGCTCGGTCCCGCTGATTGGATGCAACTTTTGAAAACGGGTTGAAATGTGGAATGATACACACGCAAACGCCTAATTTGTATGCTTTCTCGCACATTTTAATGGACGTAGCGACATAACAGCAATAGTAGCATCAGCAGCACAAACACTCAACATGTTGAACTTTTGCTATGCACAAAAATCGAGCAAAGCAAAGGTGTTGTTGTTGTTGTTGTAGTAAGCAAAAAAGCTCATAAAATCGAATAAATGTTCGTAATGTATCGTATCGAATATAAGTCATAAGAACCAATATTACTTCAACCACACCATCAACTTAACTGTTTCAGGCCACCCATTTTGTTGTCTCTTCGTCGCTTGCTCTCACTTTTGCAACGAGATCTACAAATTAGATTTTATTTTGCCGCTTATTGGTGCGATGCGTTTACCATTTCGAATCGATGGTGTGACTTTGCAACTTGCCACATCAAAGATAAAACTTATTTTAATATTCGAACTATCTTTCCTACATAATTTATGTGCTTGCGAACAATTTCTCTCATAAATGGTGCCACTGTTGTGTGCGCGTTGTGTTGTTGTTGTTGTTGAGTGTGAGTATCACGATACAGAGTTTTATATAAATTTTTCATTTTAAAAACTTTTCTCTCGCTCTCTCCTCGTTTTCTTTGCATTTCTTCTTGTTCCGTATGTTTCCAAACCATACAGACGGCAATTGCTTTGCTGTGCGAATGCCACTGCAGATGCTCGACGCTTTGAGAATGTGATAGCATGCGGTGTGAATTGTGCTTTTCGCACGAAATACTTGCATGGTCTGGTTAGTTTTGGATGAGTTTTTTTTTGAATGGTTGCACGGCAAATGCTTCAGCGCGATCTCAACATATATGCTCAAAGTGCCGTGCAGTCAGAGAAAATTGCAAAACGAGCAGCCGTATGCTCGCGACAAAGAGAGTAAGCAAATAACTAAAATAGAGGAAAATATTTATAAATCCAAAGAAAATCGCATGTACAATTGTACGTGTGCATAAGTAAATTGTCTTGCATGCGGATTTTTGCACCACCAGCAGCGAGAACAAGGACGAGGCCACAGAGAGGCAGAGTGAACAAACCATTTGAAAAGAGCAAGAGCTTGGCCACGGAAAAATGAGAAAACAGAGAAAGAAAATTGAAGTGAGTAAATGCAAAATTGTGGAAATAAATGATTCTCAACTAAATCAAGAGTGTTGTGGTGTGTTGTAGTAAGCTCTGTAATTTAATAGCATATTTTATTTCATTTGCCGTTCATTATTCGGTCGTTTCTCTTGTACACCGCACTTTGCCGAATGCATGGTGTTGGGATTCAGGTGTTGGGGTTTTATATTTCATTTCAGCTTCCATTCGAATTGAAAATCTGTTCGGTGCTTATGCTGCTGCTGCTGCCATTTTCGAATGTTTCTATATTTAAAACACACAAATCATTACACAGCCCACAGTAAATTTCTTCTGGCCATGTACACGGGCTAAGTGTAGCCATATGATGTGTCTGTTTTCGGTTATGTTTGTATTTTGTCTGTCAGATCGAGCTTAATGCATGATAAATTGATTAAAACGGTATTCATTAGTATCTGCCTCACACTCTTTTCTCCATTATCTCTCTATCTCTCTCGCTTTCCTATTTCCACTTCTTGCCTCAATCAATGACAAAATTACGCCTCGACCTAAGAAAAAAGCAAGCGCACACACACAGCTGATGCTACAACACAGCCAATTACAAAGTGCTTAAACAATTCATCGATAATTCATCGAGGTCTGTGCGGGAGATGAACAAGTCAACACTTTTGGCCCATTCGCGACGTTTTTCTCTCCATTTAAGTTTGAAAACCAATCTGCCAAATGGATGCAAACAAATTATCAAAATGAGAGCTAAAACAACAAACAGTTGAACCCGTGTGCCACGCGCCAAAAAGAACATTTCCATGTTTGATTTTGTTGTTGCTGGAATTTTGATTTGTTGGTGCTGCTGCTGCTGCTACTGCTGCCGCTGCCAAAAGCCGTTCTCTCATTTACAAAACATAAAATTCATAGGTCAGGTCATGTAATGATTGTTAATGAAAAAGCATTTCAGCATTAATTGGAAATGAAATCGATGAAAGATTTTCGGTTGTGACTGCGGTTGGAATCGAACATTGCACGTGTTCAATACAAAAAAAAAGAAGAGAGAACCATAACACAGAGACGAGCCCAACCAAACCCAAACCCTCTCCCAAAAACCGAATTGGAATCGAACTCGAATTTCATTTATGACATATTCATTCGAAGTTTACGACTTTGGATTAGCTATGGATAAAATCGAAAACTTTTCATCGCGATAGAAACATTTGGAGTGCAAACGCGCAGTGCAAATGCGAGAGCGAAAGAGAGATTGAGGGTGTCGGTGTTGCTGCGAATAAATTCGGCGCATACTGGAAAAGACATAAAAAAAAAATCGATGCCATTAGCAATACAGCGTACAGCACACACCGAATTCACAGTCAAACGAAATGAAAGACTGTGCATGAATGGCTGACTGTTCTTTTCTGCTCCATCGCACATTCTACAACACAATTCACCGAAAATCATCGTTTCGAGTAATTTCGAATTTGATCTCTTTTTCAAAGTTTAATAAAACAAAAATCTAGCACGAATTCCTTCTAATGAGTAACAAGAAGGCGAATGCCTGTGCTCAAAGTCTCGCAATCACACAGAAAAACGAAAACATACACACAAATACAAACGGCATGAAAAAAATCAATGAAAAACGAAGGAGAAGAGAGAAAAAACGCGTACACACATAACAATACCAAAAATACAATATATTTAAACTCGAATAACATCTGATTCGATGAATTAGTGATAGCTTGAAAGCAAAATGACGGACGTATTCTACGAAATTCTACGTTAACACACAAATACTAAAGAAAATGCTCAAAAACGAATAATAATTTACCAATTATTTGATATGTCTGCATATTTTTGTGCTGTATTTCATCATCAAGTTGCAGTGGTGTGTGAAGATAGGGATGAAGCTGCTGCGATGTGAGACTAGTTTCGTGACTCTGGCCAACAATGATGAAGAAACCAACAACAACAAATACTTCTACTGCGATGTCGTCGTCGTCGTCGATGATGATGATGATGATATTGTGTGTTTCGAAAAGCCAAGTGTTTCTCGTTCGTTGTCGCTTCAATTCGAACTAGGTCTCCAACGAAATAGGACTAGCAAATGATTTTCGTCCATTCCATATGTTACAAACTACTCGGTTCGTTTGGTGTATTTATTAGCTGTGTCGTTGCTGCTTTATCGATGATAGATGATGTTTCGTAAGTGAGAGCGCACCACTACCATCACCGTAACTTTTCCGTAGACGTTCACGTTTATGTCAATTGGATGAATGTTTATAGGTTTTTTTGCCTTTGTTTTTCTTTTTTCTGTGCTTTCGTTCGTTCTTTATTCGTGTTTTGTGTGTGTGTGTGTGTGTATTTCTCTGTGTGTACGTGTTGTTCGAACACACTGGTTTCCTTTTTTTCTTTTGAAATGGAGTTTTTGCTAGACGAGATGGTTCAAGTATTTCATTAAAATTGTTCAAGTGTGTTTGGACGTCTGGTAAAAGCTTTTGCGAGAGAAATCGCACACTGGACACAAACACTGGGAAAAAAAGAAACTCCGTCCAATGTGTATGGCACTGCAATGAGGTGTCACTGGTCGTCGTTAGCTAATCATTCATTTTGGTGGATGTTTTAATGTGTCACCAAACGAGAGAAACACTGTGAGTCCACAAGTAGGAGCGTTTAGCGTCTCTTTCTTGCTACACATACATCAACACCCACTCACTTGTCTATTTTCCTGCACAAAGTCTGTTCGCGTCTCTTTCTTTCGAAGTTCGCACAATTTATTTTCTTCGCACTAGAAACACTTCGCAAACGTTAACCATACGTTATAATTTATGTTAGCAAACAATGGTTTTTGTGATATCGATCACTGAATCAATTCATCGTTTTTTTTCTTCTTCGAACGAATCACTCGCAAAAACATGTATTTTTCTTTGTTTTTCTGTTTTGACAGTTGATTATATGGAAGTTCTTCCTTTTTTCCTTCTCTCACTCTCTAAGGTCGGTGCAAGATTCGTGTTTTGGTTGGTGTTCCTTGAATTCCAACGTTTTTCGTTGCGAGTTCATTAAGCCGAAATGATTAGATGCGCATTGATGTCACAGACGGTTCACTCATTGCGAACTTTGATGGCTTTTTTATATACGCTCAACGAATTAGGTTTTCTTTTGCACCAAAAACTATTTGTCTCGATGTTTTTTTTTTCTTCTTCGTTGTTGTTGTGTCGCGTCCCTCTCGTTTTCGATTTCACTGGGTTTGTTTTCGAGTTCACAAATTTAATATTTGCGATTGTTTATTGCTCTCGATTGCGAGAAACGAAACACACTGCAACTCGATTTGGATTAAGCCCACGTCTTTAATGCGCATTAAGTCACTCCCTCTGGGAATTTCTATCTCGTTCCGTTTTTTTTTATGGCCACCAATCTGAAAATAAACAAACACAAAAAATAGACAAAATAAGTAAGTTTGTTAAGCTGTGAGAGTGTATCTAAAACTTAATTGAATGTAAGTGATCTAAGTTTTTTCCTCGTTTGTTATTATTGTTATTTTGCTTTTGTTCTGCTGCAGAAATAACAAAAAATAGAATTCAATCCAGTGAGCAAAAAGAAGAGTAAATAAAAAACAGAAAATGTCGTCCTCGATAATGTTTTATCATTCGCCTATGTCGCTGTATTTTTCGTTCGGATATATTGAGTAATAGATTTGATTCACACGTTCTCACTACAAACAAAAGAAAATTCAAATTGAATTATGGGCTATATCACATGAATTGTATGGATTGAACATGTTCCCTCTATATCTTCGCAAAATAAGTGCGAGACGGTCGCATTAAAAAAAAGCTCACACAAATACACTCTCTCTCTCTCTCTCTCTCTCTCTCTCTCTCTCTGTGTGTGTGTGTGTGTCGAGAAACCCGACCGGGCGAGGGTAGAAGAAAGCACGAACAGAAGGGAAAAAAGACTCTTTATCGGATTATGTTTATCGTGTGGCTTATCTGCGATGTCGTTTTTATTCGGTGTTGCTGTGAGTGTGTAAGTGTTAGCTTTAAGTGGATGCAGGAATAACCAAAGTGTATTAAAACTTTTTGGAAAAGTCAGTAAATTTCCGCTTCTTCTTTCATTTCCGCCACTGCATGCGAATAATTCGTTTGTGTTGAAGCTGCAGAAGGGAAACGGTTAGCCCCTATTCAGAATCGGTTCACACCCCAACGTCAATTGAATCGGTAAGAATAATCTTGACCTGCCAAATTGAGTGAAAATAAATGTGGAACATAGTTTTTTTTATATGGAGTTGTTGTTGTAAAGTCCATATAAAAAAAACTCCATGTTTCACTTTTATTTTCAGGTCAAAATTATTCTTACCGATTCAATTGAAAACTACAAAAGAAACCTACCATCCACTCTTGGCTGACACACGCACATACACTCACACCCAGTCTCTCTCTCTCTCTCTCTCTCTCTCTCTCTCTCTCTCTCTCTCTCTCTCTCACCAAGTTGACAAAAGAGATGTGTCGCGTATCTTAACGATAATAAAATTGACAACAACAAATGTCGAACAAAAAATATCAAGCGCATACATATTCAAGGAAACGAGAAGGGAATGGAAAAAAGCCATACAAGGAGATAAATAGATAGATAGAGAGAACGGAGAGTTAACAGGAAATGGAGATACCACAATTTGGTTTTTTGTGTGCTGCAGTGGATGCGACTGTTGCCTTCAAATAAAAATATAAGCAGTGAATCTGTCAACATTCTTTCTATCTCTCTCTCTCTCTCTCTCTCCCTCCCTCTCCCTCAACGTACGTATCCATTCGTAGTTGAAACTTTTGAATAGACAAATGGAAAGCAACGAATATTAATGGAAACATACATTCAATGACATTTGGCATCATGTGATTTTGCCCTCTATGTTGCGTGTCTTTCAAGTCAGCGTTTCCTTGTTCGTGTATGGCATGTACGTACTGTTGGAACTGGCAAAAAATACAAAACGGATTCAATGTCATCTCTTCTTTTACTTTATTTTTCGCTCTATGGTTGGTGTTAAGCATTCACAAGAGAAAAGAAGAGACGAATAAATAGCGATGCTTGTGATATGTTAACATCATTGCACTCTCGAATCAGAATGTATCTTTTTAGAAACGCACGAGAGAGAGAGAGAGATTGGATACGAGATAGGGATGTGAACTGCTTTCTCTCATACATGCGACGATTTTTTTTCCTGTGCTTTCTTTAACATGCTCTATTCTGACGAAGCAGTTGAGTACTAAAATGTAGCGCATCAATTCACATTGAGATCCAGGGATGCTGAAATTCTTGATAATACGCATTCAATTTTTTTTCTCGCAAATGCCACACATGCAAGACCGTATGAACGCACATCACATAAATTTTCAGCGATCACTGTTTCACTTGACACATGCACAAAATCTAAAGGAGAGAAAAAAAAACGACGAAAAATACGCTGCAGAAAAAAAAATGTCGCGCAGCATTTGTTGTGAATAACAGTAACTGTAGCAACAGCAGCATCAACAACGTGATACGAGCTGAGTGTGCATTTTATTCTGATAAATAATTTATTATTAGAGTGTGATTCCGTTTTTATGACATGAACCATTCAATTCGACAGTTTGATCGACGTTTTCCTTTTCAAATTGCCATTTCATTTTATTTTATTTTTTCATTGTTTTGAACTTCAATTGAAGGACGGGTCGAGAGATAGAGCGAGAAAGAACAAAGAAGGAGAGGTTCCGATGCCTATTTTAATATCATCATTATTAAATCTTTTTATTATTTCGAGTGTCCTTGGCTCCAAATAACAAATGGTTCTTCCTTAAATTCTTGTTCTTCTTCTCGACATATTTTTTCATTTTTTCTTTCATATCGAATTGTTCCAATACGCTCAATTTCTTGGCATCAGGTCGGAAAAATTTAATTAGGATTTTTTGAAGCAAGGAAATATCCTAGCAGAAAACAACAATTATGAATTAGGCGGTTTTTTTTTCACTTTTTCTTGTTGCTGTTTCATTTTATTTGGATATTTTCGGTCATGGTATTTTTCCGGATGCTACACCAGTTCGGAATCGAATTGATGTTTTGATGCGAGGGCGAACGAAAGCTTTTAGCTGACGGAAATCAAGCGTTCGTTTGCCGGTATGTTGCGTTGAAATTAGGTAGCAGACACAACGAAATGGTGTACTGCAAAATATTTTTCGATGGTTCTAATATTGGAACAGTTGGTCCAATATAACACCATCAATATTACATTGAATTGTAGTACTCATTATCTGATATGGTTCGTCTAACAATCAACGATGGGCGAACAATTCGCAAATACCTCAAACCAAATCTCGCACCGATTGGAATGTGTGTTTTTCCTGCGGAGAGAAAATAAGCGAGGGACGAGTCGAGGAGTGTGTGTGTGTGTGTGTGTGCAGTGTGCACACCAACAGGAATATCTTTTGACATGCTAAAGATGAGCTGATAATTTTGCAAATATTGCGTCTGAGCAATAATTCTCTTTCATCTTTGCCATGTGGTCGCATGTTTAGCCAGGCCAGATAACCTAAATCGGTGGGAAAAATGTGTGGAAATGTGTTTTATGTGCTGTATTTCAATGCGCCCATCGCACACGTTTCTACAAATAGGTGTAATGATAATAATAACAATCATTATAACGACGCGCCCGTATAAAATCTTTTCAATGGAATGCGACGCTTATATTTTTTCTATGCTTTCACTCTTCTCTTTCTCTCGTAATTTATTCCACATGCATATTTGCTTTTATATTCGCCGCCGCAAATAGCGGTGACAGCGGTAGTCTCTTAGTTTGTTCATTTTTATGCGGATATCGGCCGAATATATCGGAATTCATCTCCTTGATTTTATTATCGCTTGTGTACATAAATGAATACACACCTATATACCGCAGCGAAACTAAAATGCTTTTGATAAGTGATTTCTGCGCTCTTCATTATTATCGGTGTGAAGCAAATATGGGCACGCGCAATATTGCCCGTAAAAATCGATGCCGCTGATCAGTAGATTTAATATACACGCGCACAAATTCAAGCACCTATCTTCGTTCCGAACGAGAGAACGAGAGAAAGAGAGAGCGAGTGAAAAGGAGAGAAAAAAAACCATTCAGCCAAACCGATAACAAATCAAGAAAACAAAACGCTTATTCAGGCAATCGCACATAAATTCGCTTATTCGCACTTATATTGCGTGCGCGCGTACATATGTTGTGGCTGGTGTATGTAGAGAGGGCGAGAGAGCATTTGGTGGAATGTGGGTACCGAACAGATAATATATGACCCGGCCACAAACAAAACGGTAAAACCAAATAAAATATTTATGTCATTGACTGTGTGGTTCAGGGGCAAAATACAATAAAAACCAGTCAAAGCATCTCCGATAACGGTGTTTGCACGCTGCTTTCGTCTCCCGAAATATTTCCTTTTTTCGCTGATTTTCTCCTTCGTAAATTCTCTCTCTCTCTCTCTCTCTGTGTGTGTGTGTATTATTTTTTCGCTCGCTCGCATTTGCATTATTGCTGACGATGAGCATGAGTGTTTCGTTTGTTTGTGTGTGTAGTACCTGCGGATCGCTGCAAATCCATTTCATTATTAAAATTGGTACACACTGTTTAAATCGAATGGAAAGACCGTTCAATGTGCGGGAATTTTTTTTCATTTGGTTGTGGCTGTTGTTGTGTCTATGTGTCTTTGTTTCTTTTTCTTCTTCAGCTGCGTTCATTTCTTTCGTCACCATTCGCAGAAAAATAATCGTGTTTGTGTGTTTCTGGTACACAATCATCTGCACTTCATTGATGTAATGCCTCTTTGCTCATACAAAACGTGAAAACGCACACGATTGTTATTTTTTCTTTCGCTTCATCGAATTATTTCAAACAATTTTCGGTTTCAATATATATTATCGACTGTGATAGAAAGATAGGGAAAAAAGAAATGCCAAAAACGAATGGACTTATTATTCAGCGACGTCGGAGAGTTATGAGTGAGAGACAGACTATTGAAAGAGAGATAGAGAGAGAGAGAGAGAGAGAGAAACGATCGAAACGAATGGAAAAAAGGTGAGCGCAGCGCGCACATACAACATGAATAAGCAAATATGCAAAATAAAACAAAATGAAAAGCAAAAATAGCTTCACAAAGGAGGAACAAACGAATATTGCACCTCATAAAAAATCATGTTTAATTGTATTCGAGATACAAGAGAATTGAAACGTATGCTGTCAAAAATGGATGCCACCACAATGAGCTAAAAAATTGATGAATTGGGAGATGATGGTGAAAACTAGAACACAACATACACTTGTTCGTCTTAGTTGCCACTGGTGATGTTCAAAGCAAAAGTAATGTGAAAAACGATTCAACTAAAATCAAATCCAACGCACAAATTTTC